CTGTCTGACCTTTTGAAATTAGCTGTGTGTGTGTGCGCGCGCATGCGCACGCACATGCATGCATATCAGTAGTTTGTTCCTTTATATTGTTGAGTAATGTTCTGGGGTGCTGATTTCCCATATTTTTCTTTTTTTAGATTTCTAGTTTACAAATAAAGCTGCTATTCCTTAATTCCTTAAAAGAAAATGGCTCCATAGTGACTCACTGGTCAGCTAGATTCTTAAGTAGATGCCTTATAAATGCTTCCCCGGTCTCTCTCTCTCTCTCTCTCTCTCTCTTCCTCTTTCTGACACACACACACACACACACACAACCTGTAAAACCAAGGTATATAAAAGCCCTTAAGTCTTTTACACAGAAGTGGTTTGATTTTTTGAACTGAAACCCAGATAACATTTGCTTATACTTACATAGAATGGTACAAAAAATAAAAGATGTGCACATATTACTATTTTAGTTGCCATTTCACCATGCTCCTTTGAGTTTAAGTGACTGCTTAAGTTTAGATAATATGGTTGTCAAATTACACCTGCCATTTCAAGAGCATCTGAAGTTCCTAATCCTCAATTTAGGACCAGATAATAAATTGACTTCGTGAACCATCTGCTCTCTGTTGCTTCTATTCAAGTCTGTCGCTACAGTACAAAAGCAGCCTTATATGTAAACAAATGGTTATGGCCCTGATCCAAAAAGATTTGTTTATGAAAACTATGCCAAGGGGCCAGATTTGACCCATATGCCATAGTATTTGATCTTTGGCTTTTGAAGATTACAGCCTTTAAAACCCGAGGGCAGTTTTACTCTTTCTACAGTGTTGCTATGAGTTGAAATCTATGTGAATGAGTGAGATAAGCCCTGTGCTAATTTTTTTTATTTGTCTTAACCCAAACCAAGCCTACTGCCACCAATAGGAGTTCTAGTGACCCTGTGGCTATAGGGTTTCTGAGGCTCAATCTTAGAGCAGGCACCCTCATGTTTCCCAGTGGAGCAGTCAGCCGCTTGTTGCCTACAAACCACTGACCTCGTTATCAGCCAAGAATGCCTAAACCACAGTGCCACTAGAGCCATCCATGTTGTAAGAAAGCCAAGTGTATAGTAAGAGCACTAGAAGTAAGGGTAATTTGTGGTGCAAATTGATCTAGACTCATAAAAAGTAATATGTCAGTAACTAGGTCAGCATAGGAATTGATTCCATGAGTGAACAATTCAGCTCTTTATTACCAGAAATAGTTGAAACTGAAAAATTGCATAATTAGTCTGAATATATAAAAATGAAGAGCATTTTTATATATCTATATTGTCTTCCCTATGGATTTTTGCAAAAAATTGTTCCAGGCCTCAGTAATTTAAGATTATATTATTGTGTGCCTTTGAATCTATTCTAATTCATAGCTCCTAGAGCTCGGTCAAATCCTTGATTTCTAGGTGATTGCATAACTGCAGTTACCACTAAATCCAACAGGTGCTCGGTATGCCCTCCTGGACCATGAAACACCTACAGAGGAGAAAGCTAGTCGTGATGTATGCACTGGAGTGCCTCTCTGACACCTAGAAACGTGGAACTTTGGCTGCTGGTGCGGTGTGTGTGTCTAGTATTTATTCCACTCTTTATCGTGAATTAGGTGTTTACAAAGTAGAT